GAGTGCAGTTGAAAGGAAAGCAATCTGAGCGAGTTAAAACTATTAAAAATAGCCGAAAACACGACGCCATTTTGCTTCCAGACTCCTATAACAAATAACTCCAATAAAGGGAGTTATATTTGAATAACTCCACTAACTAGTTTGCCAGTATCCTCTAACTCCTCAAAAAGAGTTAGTATAACTCCTGATATGGGGTTAACATAGCCCTAAAATTTTAACTCCACCAAAAAGGAGTAATAGGGGAGTTATTTTAACTCCCTGGAAATCTGTTACTCCTCTCACAGAGTTATTTTAACTCCAAATTTGGAGTTAAACTAACCTTAAAATTTTAACTCCACCAAAAAGGAGTAATAGGGGAGTTATTTTAACTCCCTGAAAATAACAGTGTATAGAGAAATAGTTTCGTTTGCGCTTGTGGGATTTTATCCTAGATATACGCTTGTGCAGAACACACCATAAGTTCTATTCCCGTGTTTATCCAGTTTAATACGCTCTTTGAATTAACCTTATCATTAATGATAATATTTAAACTATAGAACACTATAATTGACCTCCGCTTGTGGAGATTTTAATTTAGGGCGATTAATTAAACTGAAATCTGTTCTATCACGATGCATTACATGCATGTCCTCACAAATGTCTAGTGTAACGTTGGATAGATTCATTGTCATACGGTCCCAACAAGCAGCAACGTAGTCTTCCAGCCGAAAATAATTACTTTTGATTCGGGTCAGTAATTATAATAGATAATTACTTCGGCCAAACGGCATTATTCGATATATTGCAGCCAGCTTCGGCCTTTGGCCTCAGCTGGCTGCAATATATCGAATAATGCCGTTGGCCTCAGTAATTATCTATTAAATATTCACCTCTTATAAACACACGCCTATATTACATTCCACAAACTTTTGGCATTCGTCTGAAGTACAAATTGGCACTATTCGTGGCAACAAAGCTACAACCCTACAACTTTACAGCTCTAGAACTCTACAGCCCGACAGCTCTAGAACTCTACAGCTCTACAACACTACAGCTCAGTCTACAGCCCTACAACTCTACAGCCCTGTGCCTTTACAACTCTACACTTCTACAACGCTACAGCCCTACAACTCTGCAGCCTTAGAGCTATACAACTCTACAGCCCGACAACTTTACAACTCTACAGCTTGCTCTAGAGCTCTACAGCTCTAAAACTCTATACCGCTCTACAACCCAACAACTCCACAGTCCTATTTTATGGATTTCTTTTGCAAGCTTTAGCTGAACAACATGGGAACCTTGCACTTTTTTCTTTTTGGATAGATGAGTTGGATACTGACACAAGCGAAGAGGACGCTATTCCTTCCCCAATGCGTGACGAGGGCAAACCCCCATCTTCTCCAGTTGACTCCGGAATATCAAACAATCCAGCCCTGGCTAAGATTAATTCATACTCTTCGATATTTTCCCAAGACAAGCCGGCAGCTTGAAAGACGCCCGCGAATATCGTCTTTACATTTTGTCAACATACAGTAACATTCTCCACACTCACAAATGACTGCCGCATTCAGATTTTATACGAGTGGAAAATGAACACATGGAAGACATCTTAGAACCGAATCCGCATGAAAGTCAAATATTAATCTTCAAGTCACTAAAACTTTCAAGCGAATGCCAAAAGTTGATGGAATGTATAATATAGGCGTGCGTTTATAATTATCGTTCAAAAAGTCATTAATAATTCCGGAGCAAAACACAAAGAAAAATCATAAGCGTGTCGTGGTTTTACAGTATATGTGATAAAAAATCACTTTAATTTAGGCCATATAAAATAAATTCCTTGATTCTTATCACCGCCCGACGATATTTTGGTTTCCGCGTTGATATATTTTTGTATTTTGTTATAAAATATAAATTTACCGCCCGACCGAGCATCTTTAGACATTTAGTTATTTTTATATTTTATATTGGAATTTTTGCGATATAAAATTGTTTTATCGTTAATATTGCAACATGTTAAGGGATGCCTGGAATACTGAAGGAAAAAATGGGCTGATAGCCTATGGCTTATAGCCTTATTACAACGATTTGTGTGGACCCTTATGCATGTTCATTAGCGCATGTGCAATTATCCACTTATATAGCGTTCTTCTATAATATATTTAAGGCAAATATAAAAAGACCTCCCTCTCCAATTTTTTAAATTTTAATTTTTTTTTATATTTTGACATAAATATAAAATATAAACCTCCCGCCTCCTGGGCGTTTTTAAAAATTAGCGATGAGAATCAAGGAATTTATTTTATATGGCCTTACATAAACTTTAGCTTTGATTCTCTCGGTTTAGACAAAGTTTATTTTAAAAATTATTTCGCAAATGAACTCGTATAAGATGAGTCGTGTTTTATATGTGATAAAACACTCCTACGCGTGCTTTAAATAGTACTTATTAATAAGAAAGCAATTGTTTATTGATATACCCCGCGTCAAAATATTCAGCAGAGAAATTGACACTTTCCGGTTTCTGACAATGCTCGACCTAATTAGCATGTAGCATAAATATTTACATTTATTTAATATAGCAACTTAATTGCCGAATTGTAATCTTTGTTTATGAAAGGATATAAAGATTGTTATAAGTTTTACAGTTTAAACAAATGCCTGTATTCGCCGATCGATATTTCAAGCCGTTTGCTAATCGATTAAAGATATTCATAACTTGAGCACGCCCCTGCAATGAACATGGAACCACCGGTGAAAATAAATAGAAAAATAAATGACCAAGCGCGACAGAAAAAATATTTGCGTATTAATTGCGAAACGTTTAATAAACAAAAGCAAAATAAAAGTTGACTTTTAAGTTATTTTTTCCAGCAATGTTGCTGGGTGAGAGTTTTTAAGAAAAATTACGTTAGCAACGCATGCGTCGTCACTCGTCAATTACAGGAAAATTATCAAACTTTGTAGATGATTTGTGGCTATGCCCGTCAAGTGCCCAAATATTATACGTTTCCCGTTCATAAAACACAGCTCTAGGTTCACAATGGTAGTAATGTGTGCTTGGTATAAGGTGCCAAACTTACGAAAATTGCTATTTAATTTGTCTTATAATGTGCGACTTTGCAAACTAGTAAAAGTGTATCTTTTCAGAAAATTATTTCTCCTCAAATCCTGGATAAATGTTCCTGATTTTTTGTTGTAAGAAACTATAACCACTGATTGTTAAAATATTTTGATACATAAGACTCTCACTTACCTACTTGCTTCGCGAGAGTCGTACGAAAATCTGCTATTTACGGCAGTTTCAGGCCGCCATTTTGGACCCGTCAAGGTGTAAAATATCAATGCGCCAAATTTTACAAAAAAAGCTTTTTAACGCAAACCGATTTTTTTTTTCATACAAGTACCTGAAAGGAAACTTATTGTGAAAAATTTGAAGATTTCATATTTCCTTCCAGAACTGGGTGCCCGGTTCTTACAGAGACAGCCTCTTAAGCAATATCGCTTTTAAAAACAGCGTGAAAGTAAAGAACTGTAAATAGGTTTATGTTATGTCTCAATCAATTCCATGGTTGCCCATCCCACCCCCGGGCGTTTGTCGGGCTTTCTCAACTATACTTGTTCCCAGGGTCGGGCATTTGCTTTCTGCAGGTTAGCCTCGGGGTGGGGAATTTGCTCGAGGCTAAAAAGTCGAATATTTATCGCTTGTTTCGCCATTTAGCCGTACTTTAGTACGCATGTTTACACGAGCGTGCGTATCGCAAATTAATCATGCGGACATACACAAGACTTTTTCTTGTCCATCCTGTTGATACATTGACTTACTTCTGCAGTTTGATATTGCTTTATAAAGTTTTGAGACTTCAATATTTTAATTAAAAACGTTTTAAAACGAAATGGCTATAGAATCGATTTTAAATACAGATATATTGATACGTGATAGAGCTTGGATTCGATTTTTTGGATCAGAAATCCTCAGAAAACTTATATTTTGTCCCCCAAGGGTGGGGCATTTGCGTCGATGTAAGTCCCCAAGGGTGGGGATTTTGTTGCATTATTTAGACCCCATACTGGGGCATTTGCAACGTTTTTTCGCCAAAATGACAAAAGCCCGACAAACGCCCGGGGGGGGGGGGGTGTTGGGCACGCATGGAATTGATTGAGACATTACTTGGCTTTGATAAGCCTTCATTGAAGGTGACAATGTCTGCCTTTGAAGGTTAGCACAGCCGTATTTTATTCACATCTTTTGTACGTATTTTGTTCACAGCGAGTTGCGATAAATTTTGATTATAATGAAAATATTTGCAGCTTGTTGCGGTCAAGTTGCACTGGACTTGCAGTTAATCGTGGTAGTCTACCCTAAATTCTCTAAAACAGTATTTTTGCTCTAGTTTAATAACAATTTAATCAATTATCATAAAATTTGGCACAAAGCAAGATCTAATTAGTATACAAATTTTGAGACTACATATGGTCAACTGCACTTAATAGTTTCCATGGCAACAACACAAAACTACGGTATATACATGGATTTACGGAAACAATATCTCCAGAAGGAAAAGAGATATCAAGTACAAATTTTGTATGGTTAGTTCTTATGTCCCAATGTATGGGTTAAGTAGACATAATTTTATTTGACCAAATAGTTATGTCCGAAAGCTGAAAAAACACTGTTTCCATGGTAACTAACCCAAAACCGCCTATTTTAAAAAACTGTCTACTTAATCCATAAAGGGCCATAAGATACACCTACAGTCCAAAAATGAAGGCAAAACATTAAATCCTCTTCATTTTAGACTTTCCACAAAGTTAATCAGAGATATATCTTTCGTTTTGAGAAAACGGAGTTTAAGATGAAGTAATGTTTTGTAGCAAGTCATGACCATGTCCGGTACACAAACTCCACAAGATTATTATATGTGTTATCAATAATATGTAACAATACACATATGCTAAATATAACTTCCTACCTTCCTCAAAACTGCTATAAATTAGATAGTTTTCTACCAAACCCAGTGTCATTTCCGTCGCTTCTTTGCGACCACTTCAAAAGTTGGCATAACAAATTTAATTTGAATGTTTTGCTGTTCCTTTTTCTTTTTTGGTGCTGTTTTTCTCTTCTTGGACTTAGGATTTTCAATAGGCTTTGCACTTAGACCAAATCCACCTGGTTGGTACGACTTCTTGTCTGCTTTATCTTTCTTCGCAGAACGGAGTTTTTGCCTTTTCTTCCGATACTTCTCGCTCACTTTTTTCGCCGCATTCTTCAGTCTTACATCATCTTGCCTTTTGAGTGCTTTCATTGTGTGGACACCAGGGGTAACACCACATAGATCCAAGGCCACTGCTTTGCTTGCAGCACCAGTGTTGAATGCAGCAATTGTTTCACATGCTGCTATGCGAACTCTTCTGGCCCCGCAAAACTTTGTTTTTGCACACTTAGACCACAGCACCCCATTCGCAGCTTCATTTTGATTCTGGGTGATGCCTTTTAAACATCTAATAAGGAGGTCATCTTTTGACAGTCTGGTAAATATTGGATCCAGTTCATCCATAAAAACCTCTGACAACCGATTATCCTCATTGTACAAATTTGTGCCATCGTTTTTGTCCTTCCAATACTTGCACCACGTATCTCCAGATTTGGGACAGTACTCGTGTTGCTTTTCTAATGAAATGTTTTCATTCTTCACCATATGGTGTTGAATTGCCTTGATGCTTTTCTTCATGCCTTCCAAATCTCCTTTATTTCCCAGAATAGCTTTGCCGTAATAGTTCTGCATTTTATCAATAACCTTGTCTGTCAATCGTCCCCTTCCTCCAACACCTTTACCATCTGAAAGTTTTTTTCCCTTTCTATCATTCTTATACTTTCTCAATGCTGTTCCAAGTCTCTTTTGTACGTGTCCCACACATTCTTCTTTTTTAACTTCAAACTTTAGACCCAAATTTCTTCTCCAATGCTTCTTTCACCCGTCCAAAACTACTGCTGTCTCCATCACCAACAAAAGTTGTGTATTTCAACTTTCTTGTTTCAATACTTCTAGAGAAGATGTCAACTGCAGACACAGCTTCCATCTCCTCAGATGATCCATCATGGTTTACTTCACAGTTCTGTTCATGAGCCTTCTTCCATTCTTTGTATTCATCGCTTTCTGGATTCCAACTATTATGAGCTTTGCATTCATGACAGAAAAGCGACTTCACTTCATAGTCTAGAATTTCACCCGTATCAACCGAAATAACAAACACAACTCCTATTTTGGATGAGTGTCCCCTTTTCTGCCAAGTACCGTCAACTGTCACAGAAACACAAGCGATCTCCTCATCACCTTCCATCTCAATGTCATCCGGCCGTTCAATTGAAACCTTCTTCCATAACCGCTTGGCCGCATCATTCATTACCTCTTCCGCATTGTTCTTGGTAGCCTTTTCAATTTGAATGAGATGCTTTTTATATGCCTCTTTAGCCACAGGTGGAGGTAAGTTCATAATGGCACAAATCATCCGGTTGACTTCATGCGACCCACCACCCTTTCCACCAAGTCGTTTGCTGGTTGTCAGTGGAGTGACCGCTTCACAAACTGTACATTTCAAAAACAGAGACTCTGACAAACCTTCTCTCTCACTGTTCTTCTGGTAAAGACTAAGCTTGGATGTAGTTTTACGGCAGGAACTGCATATGGCTGCAGTAGAAATACAATCATTCAAAAGAATGGCATCTTGTAGTTTGAATCCCTTCGCCATTTCAACATCAGGTGTCGATCCTAATCCAACCTTCCTAGCTTGTTCGCGTGTCAAAACTCCACTTTTAGCTTCAAACTTTTCAAAGGAACTGTTCAACAGCTTCTTAGTTGAAATATTTTCGACAGCAGGGGTTGAAATTGGCAAAGGATTGTCGCTCAAAACAGCCGAACTGTTGGCATTTCCGTCCATACTTGCTGGGTCATTTCTGATCTCGTTCACTTTCTCCTGCGGTCGTACACCATAAAAACCCCTTCTTTTTCTTTTTTTAACAGATCCTTTCTTTCTCCTGTCCTCCCTCACCATATTTGTGTAAAAAAATAATATAAACACGCTTTATAAAGCTCTCGATTGAAAGAGATTTGTATGAAAACCAGTGTCGCTTGTGTTGCTTCAAAAACAGCCTCGTAATACTTCATGTAAACAAACGCGTATGATTCATAGTTTTAGCCTGCAATCAGGCCTGATTAAAAAGGAGGGAGGCCTTGTTGTTCAGCGAAGCTTGCAGTAAAAAATCATGTATTTGGGGGACAGAAACTCCATAGCAACAAAAATAAACAAACTATTGAAAACGGTTACTATGCAACATTTTATGACATCCTTCTAGGAAAAGGCATATATTGCGAAAACTCTAACAAATAGCAGGAAAACAAGTTAAGGGGGTCAAAATACAATAACTAAAGATGCCAGGAAAGGCAAAATATTTTTTTTTAAATCTTTCTACTTTTGATAAAAATTTAGGGTAGACTACCACCTTACCTAAGAAAAAAGCAATATCAAATACTAATCAATGATTTCTCCAATTGACAACATTTTTGGGAAAAATATGTTCTCGGAAATAAAAATTTCCTGCAGGGCATCATCGGTTTTGACAGGGCAATTCTGGCAGACACCCCCCAAATTAAGAGGGACCCCTGGGTTTACACAATTTTTTTGGAATTCAGGAGGGTAAAAATCTCCCAAACCAGAGGCCCTCAACAGGGGGTTTGGTTTTTAAATTTAATAGCCCATTACATGCTAGAGTTATAAGAAATGCAGAATTAAGAGAATTTGAAAGTTAAACAAAAATTGCAGTCAAATTGAGATTGCATTGCAGTTTGGATTTTGGAATGAAGACAATGTAATCAATGTTTTCACTACATAAAGCAGATAAACTTTTATAACATTTGATTTTACCCTGAATTCTCACCTCTATTCTAGGTTTGACAATCATATGTGCATCAAAATTTAAATATTGAATAGACTGGTCAACACAAAAATTATAAACATTTATACAATAAAATATTTACAGTGTACTGGCATACTGCACATTGATGATAAGTTGATAACCTGAAAAATAGCTGTCTTGTGAAATCAAACAACGTTTTATTAGGAACTTTATATGACATTATTCCATATTAAGCCTTCGCTTGAAAAGTTGAATTTTGCTTGCATTTTTTATTTTTCACTAACATATTTACCACTGTGACAATATTGCAAATGATCTTAAGTTACAAAAAAACATAAAATGCTTAACTTGCTAAATGATTGTCCACAGCGATGTTTTATACTGCAACAAAAACAAAACAAGGTACGGTCACAGGTACTGTATTAAAAAACTTTCCTTCCGATCTTGATCGAGAAAAATTAAATGAGCGCTCCACGCTGGAGAGGGGAGACTGAGACTGACTGATTCGATGGCATCAGAATTTAAATACGTATAGCGTATGAAGTTGGCGTGAGCAGTGGCGACGTGGCATGAGCATTGGCGACGTGGCATGAGCATTGGCTTCACTTTTCTCCCGCATGTTATCATTCCAGATAAAAGAAGTGGAGTTCACTGTTTAAATGTCTTGTATGTAGTTTTTTGTTAGCTTTCTATTGATGCAAGTCATTTGTATTAGAAATGTGTCAGAAATTTCACATTTTTTAACTGTAATAGAGTTTAATACAAAATTCAAAGAAAAACGTGTCTGCAGGAGCCCACAAGGAATTTTGTCGTGGCCAACATACAGAAACGTACTTACTAGCCTTCAGGGCACAATATGAAGGCAAAATGAAATTGTCCCATGATATGGTAAGTTTTCCATAATTTTGAGCCTCTGTCCGACTATAATGATTAAACCTACCTTTTAATTTTCTTTTCTACAGCTAATTATTCAGGTTAACAAATTCAATAGTAAGGACGAAAGTGGTTTTATAAGCAAACAAGCAAGAAATGTTCATGTGATAACAGCAGCATATTGTAGCCAGTCTAATAATAACTGTTTAACTTGGACAATCTGTTGACCCTAGTGATCGGGATTTATCTCAAGTGATAAAATTAATCTACAAATATTTTTAGTTAACTGCTATATTTCCTAAATCACAGAAGTCACAAAACACTGGAGTTTAAAGATTCCCAGTAAAGTGCTAAGTGTATGTATTATGCCACACAATGCATAGTAGAAACCTAGAACTATCTTTATTTGAAGCTTTGTTTGGTAGGGATGCAACTACCTGAAAAATACAAGGGTAAACTTCGATGTTCTGAACGAAGGCCCTTCATTGGGAAGTTTGTTGCGGGGGGGGCTGGAAAATTACATGGGCTTTTATGATCACATGACAAATATTAAATCCAATGGATTTAATCAAAACAAAGTATTATAAAATAAACAAAAAATGTAAATCACATTATAGAATATATTAATACAATTATACAGAAAACTACAACATCTACAAATCAGCATATATCAACACTATGTTGTTATTATTTAAAGTTGCAACAATAATCCAACACCAATGTTGCAAAGAGAAGCACCAGAATATTTTCACATAATCTGAATTGCAGGGTTTTTGATTTGCTTTGATTGATTCAGAAAATATATTCATTCAATGAAAATTAGATTTTTAACTTCATTAAAATATTTTAGTTGTTTGTTTTGCTATCTGGGTATTTATAGAAAACCAGTCATCAGAGAAACATACTCTGACATCATGAAATGGACAACTGCTGTATTTGGCAATTCCCATTACCTGCTGCTGGTCATTGCCACAGTACCGGTAGTACATGTACAGGTAGAAATGATTTTGGTAGCAATGACCAGTTATGCATGACCATTTAGGAATTACCAATTAACTTCTTTAAGAATGTTTTGATATGCTTGCAACAGCCGTGAAGAGTCATTGGGTACAAAGGGATCAAGGGTTACAATCCATCACAGAAAGGAAGGGGAGGGAGTCAGCCGGCCCAATAACTTTTTATAGCAATAAAGATTCTCTCTAAGGGGACGTAACCCCATACAACCCCTGAACAATTCTTATGATTATTGAAAACATGATAAACTGGGTAAATAATATGGGTTTCTGATGCTCCTCTTGCCCCCTATCTGCCGTTGAATTCCTGCCAGCCACAGCCGAGCTTCCCTTTGTAGTACTGGTGCTGGATTTATGGAATTAGGCATCTCCTGTGGCACATTCAATCCAGAGAATCATGAGCTTCGAGTATAGTTTGAACTTGCTCGGCACATTCATCCACAAAAAACGACGTTTTGGCAGATTTTCGCATGAGTGAAGCTCCCAAGGGCCTCATTACTTTCTGGAAATAATCTACCGGCCATTCAACACAGCTGTTATGCAAAATATCTTGATTTAAGACCTTGTCAAGACTAAAATTGCTATTTCGGCCGGCCGGCATCTTGTCTAATTAAATATGCTTATGCAACATTTTTTGAAGAATACCGCAGGTCATCATGAATGGTGAACTAGCGTTTTCGCATGCAAAAATGCCAGGCATGTTAATTAGGGGGATGCTACCTGGAAATTATACTAATGACTGTATTTTATTATGGTTTCTCTTATATGCAACATGTTATACATAATTTTAAAGCTCATAACATGCTCTACACAAATAGCAATACAGATGCCTTATCAGGCCAAACCATAATTGTAAAAAAAACAAGGAAAGGCAAAATAGCTATTTTCTCCCGAACCATCTTTGAATGCTATCTAGTGAAAAACTAAACATCAGAAAGTGTTTATTTTAACTAGATAAGTAGAATACATTCCAGGCAACAGATTAATGAATGCTTTTGGTGCTACACCTTATATTGTGGTCAGGATCTGATGCGTTTGACCCTTTTGTGTATAGAGCACTCAAATTTTATGATTGGGCAAATAGTTTTTGAGTTATGAGAATTTAAGTAATAGTCGCTAACCGAAATCTTGTCTCTGAGAAAATAGCTAATAAAGTTAGTACAGAATGTCACCGATATTGTTATAAATAGATACAACGTACCTGACCAAAATCAACACATAACAATGTAGGAATGCAACAGTCACTTTCCTTGACTTCCACTGACCAATTGAGCAAATGGAGCATCATCACTGTCATCAGAATCGTTATGAACAAGCCAAGCTAAAGGATAATTGTCTTCATCATCAGATGATGATGAAGATTCAAAGTCAAGTGGATCCACTTCATTAAACTTTCCACTGGCATAGGATGATTCCCCTTGGTTTGCTGCAAGAAGCTTGGCTCATCTTCTTTTCCTCCTCCTTTCCTTTTATTTTCTTTCATCTGTGCACTTATAACCGAGCTCGACATCCTCTTCTTGTCTTTTGCTAAACACCCCTCAAAAGTGAACTCACCGCCTGGAATGTTAGCTGCTTCCATGACATCCTGCCTTGAGGCAGCACCAGAATTAAAATAAAGAATAACAGACATCACAGCAATCTTCACAACTTGAGTCCCTTTAGGAGCACGGTTCCAAACAAGGCTGTTGATGCTTTCGCTCACATTCTGTGAATACCCAGGAAGACAGCGTAGCAACAGGGAATACTCACTGAGGCGCTGGAACTCAGGTAGCAGGAAATCTAAAAAGCAACATCCAAATGGTGATCTTTCCTTTGGAGGGTACCATCTCTTCTGTAGGAGCACCAGCTATCTGGCCCTGGTGGACAGTTTTGGTGTCTCTTCTTGTCATCTGGAAGTTCGCAAGTGTGATAGAGAACTGCCAGTATAGCCTTTTGCATTATCTTTATTTGTTTTTTCTGTTCCTGTGGAGTTAATTTTCCTGGCTTTACATTAGCCTTGATGGCATTTCCATAATAAGTTTGGAGCTTGTCTAATGTTTTGTTTGTCAGTCGGTGTTTGCTGCCTTTGACTGATTTCCCATCCTTCAGCTTTGGTTGTTTCTTCCTACGTTCCTGCAAGCGTGTCCCCAGTCTTTTTTGTACATGGCCAATAAAATCCAATTTTGAAACCCTAGCACACTCTGCATTTCTGCTTTCATGGTTTTCTTTCCAAATCTCATACTCCTTGGACTCGCGCCATTTCTTGTACTCTGCTGACCGCTTGTCCATCTTCTCCCATTTTCACACTTATTGCAACAACCATAGGTATCCCAAATACTTCCATAAGCTTTGCTATCACCATCACTGATCATAAATTTATAATGTAGATTAGTTTCCTTAGATCTGTCCCAAATCGTCTTAGCTATGGAGCACTCCATTGACCCACTTGATCCAGTGTGAGTTTTGGTGCATTTGTCTTCATGTCCCTGGTACCATATGTCATACTCGGGAGAATCTTCACCAAGATCCTTTTTTGTTGATTCGCATGCTTTGCGTATCTTTGACTCAAAATCAAAGTCATGTACTTCACCAGTTTCAACCGATAACAAAAAACCAACACCAAAATTAGCTGTGTACCCCCTTTTCGACCACGTACCATCAAAGCTCACTGCAATCTCTGCAACATCAGTTTCATCAGAACAATAATGTCTGTAATTGTTCATCAACAACTTTCTTGTGGGCATCATACAGAGCTGAAACATGGTTGTCCCATGCTTTGTGTTGGCAAGGGGTAGGCATATTGACACACATTTCCATTGCAGAGTAAACCATGCCTATTTGTATCCATGGAATTTTGAGATTTCCACACTTGGCTTTCACTCCCAGAGGTTTGAAACTCAATCTTGACCTCGCATTTAGATCACTGGACATTGATTACAGAGCTAGAGCCATATCTGCGTACCTCGTCCTCGCTAAGTTGTAAGTCTCCACCAAGTTGACAATTATGCAAAGGTTGAAACGCTCTTACCACATTTGATAGCTAAATCAGTCTATAGCTGTATGCCCCATCAAAATCTTGGTTTCTTTTGCTTTTCTGATCTGTTATCTTTCGAACAGAAGCCGTCTGAGGCACTGGAGTAGACACACTTGGAGAAGAATTTGATGATTTTGATTCGATACTTTTGGCATTGTAAAGAAAATATAATCTGTAGGAGACTATTTTCCACCTCCAAAGAGCAACAAGATAAAAATAATACAGACAAAATCTAAATCGTTGATGCGTTTTCACATGTGTTTCACCTCAAATGACTACGTTTTCGAACAGGAAGGAAAAATGTGTTGTAGAATTACTATGTGATCAGGCCTTAACTTGTAACCAGGCCTTCAGGTTGTCGATTTACATAATCTGCAAAAAAAATTCAAACCACCCAGAAACAACGAAGAAACAAGGCATGAAAAACAATAAACATAAACCTGTTTCCATGGCAACGTGAAATATTGTAGCCTACTCTTTCAAAAACAGCATATTCGGTAAGGAACAAAGGCTCTACAAGATTTATTTTCACTTTTACAAACATCTACATATATTATGATTTCTAAGCAAAAATTTGTTTTTAATTTTTCAAATTTTTTCAGGCAGCATCCCCCCTAATCTAAATAATTTAATTTAATTTATAATTTAATTTAAATGAAATTAAATTAAATAAGTAAGTTGCAGCAAGGACTAAAGGTGTATGGTCCAAGTAGAAGAGGGTTTGCAAATAACCCAAACTCCAATTGTATTGTAGCACAAGTTCGACAATGTATCAGAGAAATATTGAGAGTTCCTATAATTGTGGTAAAGGACATTTTAAAATATAGGCTGTTAGCTGTGGCATGAAAACATTCAGTTCTGTCGCCCATCGCGGTGCTAAAATATTTTAATGGGAATTAGGAGAATAAACTATGCTGATTTTAAATATCTTTGTTCCCACATGCCAAAACCCGCTGTTTTTTCACAATGTAAGGCCAAAGTTTGATATTTTCATCCCCTAAGCGCCATTTTGAATTCCACGGTATCTTTTGGCATAATTACTTGAAGTATTCTATGAAACGCGGGCTCATAAACAACTCAAATCATAAATATGGATGAAGAGTCTAGCATAACGAAGATAAACCTCAAATATGTCCTGAAGTCATCATTTGATGGTGTACAGCTCCAAAAGAGTTGTGCAAATTTGAATTCTTATCTAGGTAAACTTCTGTTTAGCTTTTGTGTATATCATATAGTAATTTATAGTCCTGTTTCATAGCTTTTCATATAGTAATTTATAGTCCTGTTTGGATGCCATATTTTTTTTAGACTGTGCATGTGCACTTATGCATGACGCGAATTTCTGGCAATGTGTGAGATGTTAAGTGACACAATTCACCAGATTTACCTTCAAAATGTATAAAATATTCCGAAGCAAAGACAGTTTTGCTAGCCATATATATGAATTTGGTTGTTTATGAGCCCACGTTACATTCAATACTTCAAGTAATAATGCCAAAAGATCAAAGATATAACGGAATTCAAGATGGCACTTAGCGGATAAAAATATCAAACTTTAGCCTTACATTGTGAAAAAAACTGTGTGTTTCGGCGTGTGGGAACGATATTTAAAATCAGCTAGTTTATTCTCCTAATTCCTGTTAAAATATTTTAGCACCGCGATGGGGGTGACGGAATTTGATTTCTAGCCACATTTTGGCCACACAGCCAACGGCCTAATAGTTTGATCCACAGGAACAGAATTCAGGAAAGCTCATTGTCTTAAATGGAGGGATTATCACAGCCCAGGGCCAAACTATGTATGGCACATGGATGGATATGAGAAACTGAAACCATGGGTTTTTCCAATTCATGTTGCCATAGATGGCTTTAGCTGGAAAATTGTTTGGCTTAATGTTACCTGCTTAAAAAATGCTCCTGATAATATCACAAAGTTTTATTTAAAAAACTGTGGTAGATATGGTGCCCAGTTGAAATGGTGACTGATCTTGGAACCAACCATGGCTTGTGGTGGCACCAACACAGTGCTATTTTTGTGACAACCTTGATGTGCATCACTCTGTTTCATCTCCAAGAAACCAATGTATTGAAGCATGGTGGTCCTTTTTCTCAAGGAATCAGTTTTCTGTTTATACATATTGCAATGCTGTTTGGGTGACACTTTTATAATGATTGTCCCGATTAATTATTCTACGATTGTTGCACTAGGGGGATGACAAAATTGCTGACTGGAGAGGCCAGTAAGAGAACTGGGGGGACATGTCCTCCCCCCCCCAGTCTATATGTTAAAATAGGCCCTCTCTTGCATACAGAAAAGGGGGAGGAGAAAGGAAGGGCTTGTGGCTATTCCCTACACACTTAATTTTGCATGCAAAATACTGCACAGTTATAACCCCCAACAATGAATTGTACATTTATTGTTTAGATATTGTAAATTTCTTGGCGTCTGCCACTGCTGTACCGTCCAAGTTAATATAAATACAAAATTGCGTAAACACAAAATTGCATTGTTTAAACAAGAATATAAACAATTTAACTCAACTTTAGTGCTAGTCAATGTAAGTAAGTAGAGATTTATTTCTTTCAAGCATCTTTGGGAATCGAGACAGCAGAAAATAGCACTGTTAATCTAATTTTATTGCCTTTATTACTGTTCATGTTTGATTTTAATGCCTACTAAAAGATTGGCCATCACAGTATGCTGTAAAAAATATATTGTTAAACTCAGCCAATGTCTTCATGCGATTTACAGGATGTGTTATCAATTTATCACATGCATAAGCAGCATGATAACAATCTGTATGAGTAGGGTATTGAATGGCACAATCATGATTAAACATGATTGAAGTAGCTATTGCTTCCCCATTAAGTGGTTTGTGCTGATAACCAGTTAGCCACCCTATAACACCAGCAGGGGTGATTGACTAAAATGTTCAGTAGTTTCATGAAGGGCATCGGAATCATCGGGGGCATCAGCATCATCTGAGGCAACATACAAAGCATTGGCTTCTACAAAACCCACGTTTTCTTCATCCTCAAGCTTGAAAAAAATCTTGAAAGTGATCCATCATACTTCTTTCAGTGCACCTCTTTGAACTTCCTTCTGGGGAATATTCTGGAACCATTTAACAATTAGTCCATGAAGTTGGGGTCACTACTGATAATCTTTATTTTGATATCAAGACACCACTGTGTGGATGAATTAAAAGAAAGATATTTGGGAGGGTACAAAAGCTGGACCCCCGGTATGAACCCCCCGTCTGGATGCCCCCGTCTGGACACCCCCGTCTGGGCCCCCCATTCTGGACCCCCCGTCTGGACACCCACATCTGGACCCCCCTGATTAAGTTTACAGAAAATCTCAAGTCATTCCAAACTCAACAAAAACTTCAACACTTGATCAATTCCAATCCATCTCCTTCAAAGGAAGGTGTTGACAGATTTGCCTCAAAAGTAGAAGATTTAATTATGCATGCTGCTAAAAAGTCCATGTAAATCAAAAAGAAGAAATATAGAAACAAAATTTCCAATGTCTGTAATAAAAAATTGTTTCGATAAAGAATGTTGACTCCAAAGACATTCATTGAGAAAACTTGCAAACCAAAAACACAAAAATACCATGTCTGTCACCCTTAAGATTTATAAAAATAGGTACGCAGTGCGTACATGTTGCAAGCCATTAGTCAGTCACAGCAGGGTTAACTATAAACTTGTTAAAAGTGTTGGTGTTTGTTGGCATAATTTGTATGCCCTTTTCACCTCTGTGACCGAAGTTTGTTACTGCAACATCAGGGCGTGGACTTCCTTATCATTATTTTGGCCCAAATGCACATGGGCTCCCATGCAGTTTGCCTCTACAAGAAACTGATTAGTTTTATTGGGTCCATGGTACTCCTCTAAAATAGAGAGTGATAGCGCAGGATTCACTATGCCTCAACTAGAAAAAGAACAGTGGCATAGCTAAGGTTGACTGAGTAGTAAGGTACTACTAAGTAAGTAAAAGTACTGAGTGGCAAGGTCACAAAAAATGCTGGATTTCTAGGGCTCAGAAACGCCATTTTCCACATTCTGATACAATTTTTTAAAAGTAATTGCAAGGTCATACATTACAAAATTCTGTTATTGTTACCAGAGATGCCGGAACTGGGGGGGGGGGCAGGAGGGGCAGCTGCCCCTCCTGCCTTTGCTAGGAGGGGCAATGGGGGCAAAAGTGCCCTTTGAGTTATAAAATACTACCTGATAAACCACATTTCCACATTTCAAAATCTTGAATGTGACCTGATTAAGTGTGTTTGCTTTCATTGTCTGCAATCACGGCTTCAATTTTTGAATTGTAGAATAATTAGATGCACTATCTAGTGTATATAAGATATCTATGGGATAAATATGTTAGAGTAAGCAATACAACAAAACACATTTAAATCTGCATAATATTTCGATTTTGCAAGTCTACAGTACTAGTATATAGTCTAACATAGATTTTGTAATAATTAATCTCTTTCTCAGTCGGTAGTTTCGTATTACATTTCGATTCAATTTTTCTGATGTAAATATTGCGGCGAGTACTTACCCCCCTTTAAAACAAAACCCACCATTGTAATCCTCGTAATATAACCTTTCGAACGGGGGGTCAAGTGCCGTCAAAACATTACATAAACCAAACAATCATATATTTATACTCACTGCTTCGCCAAATATTCAAACGAGAAAAAGTTGAATATATTCTAAACTTTTCGTCATTTTCTGAAAGGCTATATGCGTAAAATACTCTCTGTATTCAAGCGCTTTCGTGTAGAAAGTTTCGTATGGATACGGCGAGTAGAAATATTTATTTTGAATTTTTCAAGGTATCGGGTTTTACTTGCACGCGCTTGTATTACGTAATACTTGGCCAATAAGGAGCTTCTTTAGCCAGGATGACGTCAAACTCACGCGTATAGGTGCCCTTTGACCTGTAGAACCATTTCTGGCATTTCCAGAGTCACGTGATACAAGCGTCGCATTGTTTTGACGATTTTTCCTTGTATTTCCGGTTTGGATTATTGCAAATTCGGAGCAGAAATGTAATATTCGGCAGTAAAAGTCACACTTTAAAGATATAAGCATGAAAATAACACTATACATGTTATTTTTAACTGCTTGATTCATCAGGAGTATCAGAATGAGCATGCAACTCAAGGGGCCAAAGTTATGTTCGGCGAAAGGTATGTCTATATGTTTATAATTTGTTAGTAATATTGCGTAATTTGATCATATACGAGCTTGCTTGACTTGCAAAGCTCATAAATCGCTATAATGTAGCCATTGACTAAAACTATCGTTATGAATTAGTATATATTTTTATACTGAATCGAATGGGGTATCTTCATCAACATAGCGTTTACTGAACCAAAGATATGAACTAAACATCCGTAGACCGTGCACGTTCTATGCGTAAATGGCGTAATGGACCCGGCTGAGAAAGAGTTAAATAGAAAAAAATCAAATAAAATGTACATACAGATTAACATAACATTCGCTTGATTGATTGATACAGCAAATAAAAGATAAAAATGAACCAAATAATCTAAAGCTAATATGTTACAGAGTAGACAATGGAACAAATTTGAAATCTGCATAATATTTCTGAGTGTCGATTAAGTCTACAGACTGTACTACAAACAAAATGTACATACAGATTTACATTACATTCGCTTGATTGATTGATACAGCAAACAAAACTGAACATTCTTCACGATTTGTGGTGTCCCATTCTCCACAAATTCAAGACCAAAAAGAGCAAAAATTAAAACACGCGAAGTTCTCACTCCCTGTCGAAGCCATTTTCAAAACAATCGTCATATGGTCGGAATCGTTCGGAATGCAGTCGTAAGTGTCACGTGAAAAATCCGGACAGGACAGGACAGACAGGACAGATTTTAGTTATATGATAATTGCAAGCCATTTAATGGCTTGCAACAAAAACACTCTAAAATGCAAGAAAGAACTTTTTCATGGAAAAAACCTAGAACTAGAGTTTCTGAAAATGACCCAAATTGCTTCTGGAACTATTAAAGAACATGAGAGTGATGACTTTAAGGACCTTTCAATCAGTGAATACTGTTACCTAGGAGTCAAACTAAATCACAATGGCAATTTCATTTTAGCTCTAAAGCAACTAAGTGAGAAAGCCTTGCATGCTTTACATGGTATAAGAAGACAGCTCAACTTCAGCTGCCTCAATCCCAAATATGCCATTAAAATATTTTATTTTATTACAAGCTCGAAGTATGGGGGACAACTCTGAAGTATGGGGGACATACGTGAGAAACGATTTCAACAATTGGGACAAGTTACCAATTGAAAAAGTCCATCTTAAGTTCTGTAAAATATACCTTGCTGTCAGTAGGAAAGCAAGTAACATTGCTTCCAGAGCTGAGCTTGGAAAACTCCCTCTTATTATCAATGTATTCAAAAGGGTCTTCAAATACATCACTCACTTAAACTCACTTCCCGAAACAGCCATTGCAAAGCAAGCATTTCTAATCTTGAAAGATCTCTACTCTAGGCAGAAAACTTCCGTTTAAGGAAATGCAATGGATACAATCAAAAATTTAAACCTAAATGAAGAAATCCCTAATCTGGAAGCCGTAACGTCTGAACATATTGAAGCTATTACCAAAACCCTTGAGGAAAAATACTTGACATTCTGGAAACATAAACTTGAAAATTCATCCAAATTAACTTTCTATTCAACATTCAAAACGGACCACAACCTCGAAAAATACTTAATACTTATAAAAGACCCATACAAGAGAAAATGTCTTTCACGTTTTAGAGTTAGCAGCCATAACCTCCAAATTGAGATCGGGCGATACCAAAATACACCCCGAGAAGAACGCTTATGTGAAATCTGTAATTCAGGAGAGGTGGAAAACGAAACCCATTTCCTACTCTTTTGCAAAGCCTATGAGCATTCTCGTGAAGACCTCCGAAGTTCTTTAGAGAATGTCTCATCTAACGAGATTAAACTGAACTCTCAAACTCTATCAGCTGACTTAATGAAGTCAACTGATAGTGAAATCATAACTAAACTGTCAAAATTTGTTTATTCATGTTTTGAACAAAGGCTTAAATACCTTGAAAACAGGAGTCCTAGTTAGCATAGGTTGTAATAACCACCTTATTTGTAAATATTATACTTGTCTACATTCTTTCTTCTTATTCCTATTCTTATTAACGTTAATGTTATGTTAGTCTATTAAGTATTATTGCACAGTCATATACTACTTTGTAAATTGTATAATCCTAGTTTACCATAGTTCTCTATATATTGTTATAACTTTTATACGCTTTAGCAATACTGTACACTTATAGTCATGCTAATAAAGCTATTATTTACCTTACCATAGGTCTGAACAGACCAAAAAGATTATTGATCTTTGTCAATCCATATGGTGGCAAGAAACAAGCACCCAAGATATTTAGGAATAAAGTCAGACCTTTATTTGAATTGGCAAGGATAGAAATAGACATTATTGGTGAGTTTTGTATCGATACAATATCTTACACTATGTTAGACAATGCTGCCTTTTTAACTGTCCTTTTAAGCTATGCTTACACGCTACGATTTGTCGTGTGCAATTTGTATGCTGGCGCCATAATTCATTGCCGTTTTATTAAAAAGAAATTTCAAATGTAGCCAGCTTACGCGTGTTTACTCAATGACATATACCAGAAAACGAATCGTACACAATTAATTGCAGCATGAAAATACAATGTGTTCATTGACCGTGCACCGTGCACAAAACTGCATAAATGCGAACCAAAAGATAGAACAAAAACTTTAGCAGAGTTTCCAAACCCTGGTTTGATAGATTATGTTTTAAATTGTATTCCTTTTAAATTGTATTCCCTTGTAGAAACAACGAGAGCTAATCATGCAAAAGATTACATAATGACTGAACCTAACTTAAATCAATATGATGGGTAAGTATTAAACAAATTTGCATGAAAGCTAGTTAATTTATAAATGTTTATTACCCATAGAGCACGAGAGTCGCCAATTAGCTGTAAAAGTTAAATAACTTGGACACTGAAATAAAGTTTTTATTATTTATTATTATTATTGGAGCTCTCCCCTAGACAAGTAAAATCATCTGTATTAGACAAAATAAAATAGTAAAGTGGGGTGCAAGGCAACTCAATGGGTTAACTAAACAAATAATTATTGAGCAGATATAGCCTGATTATACCCCCATTGAACGCCAGTGCTTTCCCATTGACAACTTGTAAAATCATCTGGCGTAAAATCATCTGGCGTAAAATCATCTGGCGTAAAATCATCTGGCGTATGTGCAATGCAGCTCATGGGTTAACTTTACAGTGTTGATTTCCTTTAGCTTTCCTGTTTTATGAGTTTGAGAAATATGATTGTACAAAATGTTGCTATACGTACATTATCTGAATGTGCTTTTTTTTTTCAGAATAATATCAGTTGGTGGTGATGGAATGTTTAGTGAAATTTTGAATGGAATTTTAATGCGCGAGGAACAAAATGTTCAAGCATCGTCTTCAACAGTATTTAATCCACAGAAACCCAACATTAAACTTGGAATAATTCCTGCTGGTATGTATCTTAAAATATATTTTATTTTTGAAACGTTTAATTCTCAATGTAAAAATTTCCATCATGTGAGCCTAACAGTTCAAAATTTCATGTGCCCTAGTTGGGCGTTAGTGAGTTAACACTTTAAATTGTATTTCACTGATTAATAAGTACTATTTACAACATGAGCGGCCGTGTTGTATCGGACGGCTTAAAAAACGACTCATCGTATGAGTTCATTGACGAAGTAATTTTAAAAATAAACGTTGTCTAAGCCGAGAAAATCAAAGTTAATTAAGTTTAATGTAAATCAACATGAATCTGTATCACATATACAGATACGACACGCCTATGATTTTTCATTGTGTTTTCTTCATGAATTATTAATGATTTTTTAACCATGATTACAATAAAGTGTCGGTTGCTAATTACTGTACTATATTTAATGCCGAATTGCTTAATATTGTGTGTAGGCTCTACAGATTGTGTGTGCTACTGCACCACTGGTACCATTGATGCAGTTACCTCAGCCTTACAGATAATTACAGGTTTGTAGTGAATCATCATTCTTACAGCATGTACAATTTTGTGTACAAAACACTTTACAAATAAGCGTATTATTAAAGCAGACCAGCACAACTACCTAGTACTATATTTAAAACACAAGTAGGAGTGTTTTATCAGATATAAAACGCCAGGCGCAGCCAAGCCTTTTATGTCTGATAAAACACGACAACAGGGGCGAAACTAGCCCCTTTTAATTAGGGGGGTGTCTGGCAGAATTGCCCTGCCAAAACCAGTGATGCCCTGCCAAAAAGTACCAAAAAAATTTTTCAGGAAAAATTATTTTGGCGACCTTCCCCCCCGTCGCCAAAACAATTTCGGTCTGTGTACCTTTTAGGGGTCAAAAAAATTTTCCGGACAACCTATATTTTTCGGAACATAACACAAATTTTCGAAAAATCACACAATTTGCGAAAAAATTCACTTAATTTTAGATAAAATTGACTGAATTTGTCCCATTTTTTTTTTTTCAAACCAAAATTGCCCGACTGTTGATCGAATATTGCCCCCGCCCGGTACGCCTATGTGCTATCATTTATTTATAAGAGACCTTTGATTGCCCTGCCAATCGGGATGATTCGTATTTTGGGGGGGTGTAACACCCCCCATACTCCCCCTCAAGTTTCGCCCCTGCACGACAACGAGTGTTTTGAATAGCTTAAAATACGACTACAAAAGAATACTAATTAGGATGAACCATTTTATAATCATACTAATTAGGATGAACAATTATATAATGCCTCATGCTTTATCGGATATACTGTAAAGTCACTCCACGTGACATATTATGGCTGACATGATTGCCACAAGGTTTATGAATTATTAATGAGTATTTTAAGTATAAATACAGTTAATTTAGTTTATTATTTTTAATTACTGAACCTCCAGGAAGAACACTTTATGGCGCTTTTATCTTCTCTTCTCGAGGATCGATCTTTCTCCACCTGGATACCTTCAACAACTCTGTGGAGAAGAGAGGAGGCCTCTCCTGTAGAAATTTAATTTCAGTTTCACTTAGTTTAGGTTACCTGATCCTGTAGTAACAAGTTTTATAAAATACTAGTAACATGTATATAACATGTTCTCTGATTGTTCGATCAGGCCATCCAAACACGGAAATTTAAAGTGAAAGTTTTTTAAAGTGAAATTTTAACACAGAAAGTTGTTATTTTATAAAACAATTACTTTACGGTTTACAATTACTTTACGGTTTCCGTGTTTGGATGGCCTGATCCAAACACTTGCGAATGTTGCTCGAGTTAAGGAAAGCGTGCAAAATCAATCGTCTTTATCACTCTTTTCTTAACTCTCGTAACATTCCCGCATGTTTGGACCAGGCCATCCAAACATGGAAACCATAAAGTAATTGTATAATGAAGAAGGGAAATGGCTCTCTATCGTTTTAGGTGAAGATCAGCCCTTAGATATTTCATCCATCAGAAGTGGAAATGAATTGTTACGGTATTCTGTTTCATTCGCCGGCTATGGTTTCTTTGGGGATGTTGTCAAGGATAGTGAGAAGTTAAGATGGGCTGGTGTGAAACGATACGATATTTCAGGAGCTAAAATATTTCTGGCTAATAGGTATAGTTGTGCTACGTTTTATTACCGTGCAGTGCCATACAGTATACCATAATTTACCGTACCATACCATGGTACAGCAGTACAATACAATACATACTATTTACAACATGAGCGGCCGTGTTGTCCGATACAACACAGACGCGAATGTTGTAAATGGCTTAAAAAACGACTCATCTTATGACTTCATTGGCGAAGTAATTTTAAAAATAAACATTGTAACAAGAGAAAATCAAAGTAAAGTTTATGTAAATCAACATGAATCTGTATCACATATACACATATGACACGCTTATGATTTTTCTTTGTGTTTTATTCATGAATTATTAATGAGTTTTTTAAAATACAATAAAATACAATATCATATACCATCAATTTACATTTTACTTTATATCACCATGCAGGTTCTATGAAGGCGAGTTGTCATATTTAATTAGCTCAGATGCGCAAGGTCATCCCCAGGACAATAATAAATGTAGAGCTGGGTAAGTTTTATATTGTTAATTAAAATTAATTAAGGGCAGAGTGCTGGTACTCAGACTTGGCGGCAATGCACGCCTGATTCACCCTGTATTTTTTCTATATGCTAGATTAGATTACTCTGTCTAGTGCCAGAAGATTTTGTTGTTAAGGGGAGAGTGCTGGTGTTCAATGGGTTAATATCATTAAAATATAAACAATAATTGTTAGTAATACTATTTTTTTTCAGATGTAGTGTTTGTTTTCCACCGCCTTGCACAACATATGGTGAACTGTTACCAGGTAGGCAGGTAATTGCTCAAACTCAAATACTGGATATAGAGATCCAGTAAGGTTTATCTCTTATTGACCAAGTGTTAATTACTACAGCTGTCAAGCTACAACGTCAAGTATGTCTGTTTAACCCATTGAGTGGCAGCAGCCTTTATTGACGTGCAAAATCGTCTGGTGTTAAACAGAGTAAAATAATAAAGTAGGGCGCATCAGGGTGTATCACAAAGTGGCAATGCATCCTGATGTGCCCTACTTTAGTACCTGTATTTTATTGCACATCCTGATGTGCCCTACTTTAGTACCTGCAAGACGATTTTATTCTTCAAGTGGAGAGTGCTGCCACTCAATGGGTTAAAGGGTTATCAACTTATCAGGATGCATTGGCAGAGTTTGATTAACCCATTGACTGGCAGCATTCTCATAGATGAGTAAAATCATCTGGCATTAGACAGAGTAAAATAATATAGTGTAGGCCAGATCAGAACACATTGCTACTTAAAGGGTTAAAGGGTATTGGCAACAAAAAATTTTATTGATTTTATTGCTTCATCTGAAAGAGCATGAAAAAATAAGCCGATTGGCCGTTTACTGCTCTATTCTATCTCATCTGGTTCCGAAGTTATACCCAAAAATGTGAAAAATATAAATTGCTGATTCAGCACATTCTGTGACGTCATAAGCTGGGTAAGTATGTTTATTGAATAGTAAACTAAAGCATAGCTGAGTTATTATTGGCTCAAATCAAATGAAATTTTGCATACAGATAGTACATGATGAGATGCATGGGAAAATACTTCTAATTTCGTTGTCAAGGCAACACAGTCGTTCCCAGGCCTCTTACACTGATTTTGAATAACTAGTTGCATTTATCTATGTGTATGTCATTTTCGAATTATTATCATGCAAGTAAACTTTTGGCATGCATAGGTATCATACACATACTTCTGATATTATTTTATTCTTATCAGTACCTTGAATAAAGCTGTTTCATAAAATTGGCGCAAGGGGCCTGGAAACGACATTGTTACCTTGGCAACAAAATTAGAAGTGTTTTTCCATGCGTCTCATCATGTACAATCAGTATGCAAAATTTTATTTGATTTGGGCCCATAATAACTGAGCTATGCTTCAGTGTAGTATTCAATAAACATACTTACCCAGCTAATGACGTCACACGTTGTGCTGAATCAGCAATTTATACTTTCACATTTTTGCGTATAACTTCGGAACTAGATGAGATAGAATAGAGCATTAAACGGCCAATCGGCTTATTTTTTTATGCTCTTTCAGATGAAGCAATAAGATAGATGAAGCAATTTTTGTTGCCAATACCCTTTAATGCCAATGTTCACAGGTCGATTCTTACCATGGTCGTTAAGCAAATTTTGAATGTTTTTGAATTTTTGAAAAATTTCCTGTGGTCCCCCCTTTGTTAAGCCTAGGGTACCCTGTGGTCCAAAGGGTTGCATTTGACCAAAAATTTTTAAAACATGTTTTTATCGATCGAAAGTAATTGCTTTGATGACAGGAGAGGTTTTCAACAGTTTTCAGAAAGTTTGGACTAGTTTGAGGTTTTTTTTAAATGTTTTTGAATTTTTGAAAAATTTCCTGTGCCCCCCCCCCTCCCTTGCTAAGCCCAGGGTGCTCTGTTGTCAACACACTCACATTACAGCACCATGTTAATTAAATAATTTCACCTTAATACATCTATGGCAATCATTAAAATTTCTTATTTCTAGCCGAGACTTGTGGCTGGCACAGTATTACTGGACGTTTTATCAGTGTCATGGGAGCAACAAATTGTTGTGCAAATAAGAAGTCTCCCGAAGGAATATCACCGAGTGCCCACCTTGCTGATGGTTGCATTGACCTTGTTGTTGTACGTCATACATCACGTGCTAGATATCTACATCACATGATACGCTTAGCAGGAAGAGCTGATCACGTGAGTACATCGCTTCATTGTGCATGCTTATTCAGGGTGTTAGCCACAAAAAAACTTTTGTCTGTTAAACATAAATTGGGATAGTTTTTTTTCACCGATAAAAGTCCTTGTGTAGGAATAAAGAGTGTTTTTTTTTTCAACGTGTTTCTCCTTAGATGCAAACAACGGTAGCTTGGTTTTGTGTATTTCACTTCCGGTAAATGAACACGGATGCACACCGATTACACTTTGTTTTGTACATTTCATTTCAGTGAATACACACCCAATATGAATGAAACGCGATACATTTTGAGAAAGTAGTTAATGGGAAAAAGTAAATAAAACGTTCTTTGATATAATAATATAAAATCAAACGCAATGCACTTTCTCATAAAAAAAATGAAAATATTCCAGTAGACCCAGTTGGGAAAGCCCCTTACCTACTTCAATTGGGAAGAGTCCATCGAACGGACAGTATATGGGCTAGCTAACACCCTGTTATTTGGCCGAAGGGGTGAGGACATTGGGACCATTTCTCTCCACATCCAAACATTACTTTCGACTGATAAAAAGTTGTTTTTTTAAATGCAAAAGGGGGATGACAGGTATGTCCGTAGACTCACCAAAGGGGGGGGGTTGGCACAGGAATTTTTTTAAAAATTCAAAAATTAACCAAAACCACCTGAAAACTTTCTGAAAATTGTTGAAGACCATTTTTCGCATCAAAACAGTTAGTTTTGATTGATAAAGGGAGACCAAAGTGGGGACGACAGGAAATTTTTCAAAAATTCACCAATTTCTCCAAACCACTCCAAACTTTCTGAAAACTTTCTGAAAATTGTTGAAGACCATTTCTCACATCAAAACAGTTAGTTTTGACTGATAAAGGGAGACCAAAGTGGGCACGACAGGAAATTTTTCAAAAATTCATCAAGTACTCCAAACCACTCCAAACGTTCTGAAAACTTTCTGAAAATTGTTGAAGACCATTTCTCGCATCAAAACAGTTAGTTTTGACTGATAAAGGGAGACCAAAGTGGGGGCGACAGGAAATTTTTCCAAAATTCACCAAGTGCTCCAAACCACTCCAAACTTTCTGAAAACTTTCTGAAAATTGTTGAAGACCATTTCTCGCATCAAAACATTTAGTTTTGACTGATAAAGGGAGACCAAAGTGGGGACCACAGGGAATTTTTTAAAATTCACCAAATGCTCCAAACCACTCCAAACTTTCTGAAAACTGATAATCTTACATTGTGAGAGGACGGCTGTACTAAATTGAATTTCTGTTGTTTTTTCTAGATGGATTTCGACTTTGTTGAAGTGCACAGAGTGAAAGAATTCTCGTTCCGTCCAGTGTCTCGCGTTGACAGTGAGAATGATGAATTGTGTACAGCGTCACACTCGAGTGTGACGGCAGATCATGAACGAAATTTAAATATCACACATAACAGAACAAAACCACAGGGACAACTCCAGCATAGTGTGTGGAATGTGGACGGGGAAATAATTGATGAGCCTGCAGTCCATGTTAGGTATGTGTTGAATTATAATCTTCAATAGTGCCGGATTAGCCATATGCCAGAAGTTGGCACATGCCACGGGCACCGTGCTTTTGGGAGCCCCACGCTTCAGTGAAACGTGGCTATGAACCAAGGTTATGATTAACTTGAACCATTTATCATTAACTTTTTGAATTAGGTTAAATGGTAATAGCAATGACATTCAAAACGCTGAAGAGAGTCAACGGCATAACCATCCAAGTTGAATGGTTATGCCGAAGACATTCAAAGGCATAACCATCCAAGTTGAATGGTTATGCCGAAGACATTCAACGGCATAACCATCCAAGTTGAATGGTTATGTCGAAGACATTCAAAGGCATAACCATCCAAGTTGAATGGTTATGCCGAAGACATTCAAAGGCATAACCATCCAAGTTGAATGGTTATGCCGAAGACATTCAACAGCATAACCATCCAAGTTGAATGGTTATGCTGAAGACATTCAACGGCATAACCATCCAAGTTGAATGGTTATGTCGAAGACATTCAACAGCATAACCATCCAAGTTGAATGGTTCTGCTGAAGACATTCAAAGGCATAACCATCCAAGTTCAATGGTTATGTCGAAGACATTCAAAGGCATAACCATCCAAGTCGCGATGCGATTTTGCTATTTAATGGAAGCCAAGCTTACACATAGACCCATAAGTTCTGGACCCAGACGTCATTTCCAACGCGCATTCTTTGCTTGGAATGTAGTGTTTTGGTTTGTTGATATTGAATTTCGCCCGTTTTTATTTTGACTTTAGAGTTCATCGGCAGTTGGTCACTTTATTTGCTCATGGAATTGAGGAATGTGATAAAATGAGGACCTGCTCGGTGTGTCGGACAAAATAACCTGCTCATGTCGTGTCCATTCTTATACCTTGTTCTACCTGATCATTTTTAACTACGTATGTATTGTAGGTAGGAATATAATTAAAATTAAGTTTTCTTAAACCTAGTAGTCAACCCCTATGGTGCAAGAGATCTCAAAGAGCTTGACTCGAGTCAACCTCGTTACCAGGCTCGTACGTCGTTAAAATCAAATCAGATTAAACTCCACAAGAGGTAAGTGCGTGGGAACGGGGTTGCTCTCGAGTATTTTGTCCAGTCGCGAAGCCAGCCCGACAATTTGGTCATGTTATGCAAATATTTCCGTGTTTATAGACCGTGAAAACAATCAATTTCTAAAGAAATGAATAATGATAATGATGTAAAATTTGCATAGCATCACCAACTTTTCGGGCTGGCTTCGCCACGGATTTTATCCTAACCGCAAAACGAGAACTACATGTAATTCCAGTGCAAATTATTTCCCCTCAGTGAGTGTCTTGTACAAAGGTTTATTAATTATTTATCATTCACAATATTTGAAGCTACAGCCAACGCATTAGACTGTACTTTTATTCGACGAAAAGCTATGGGTCATATTTAGCCACTTTTTCAATTTTTGAAAAAGAGGTAAAAAGAGCAAAAAAGTAAAGCTATAGCCTTTACTTTTCGTCCATTTTTAGCCACTTATTCGATTTTTGAGAAAGTGGCAAAAACAGCAAAAAAGTAAGGCTATAGCCTTACTTTTCGTCCATTTCTAGCCACTTATGTCATTTTTCATAAGTGAGCAAAAACGAGCAAAAAAGTAAGGCTATAGCCTTAACTTTTCATCCATTTTTAGCCACTTATGTTATTTTTCATAAGTGGGCGAAAAACAGTAAAAAAGTAAGGCTATATAGGCTTAACTTTTCGTCCATTTTTAGCCGATTTTTCAATTTTTGAAAAAGAGGCAAAAAAGAGCAAAAAAGAGCAAAAAAGTAAGGCTATAGCCTTACTTTTCGTCCATTTTTAGCCACTTGTGTCATTTTTCATAAGTGAGCAAAAACGAGCAAAAAAGTAAGGCTGTAGCCTTAATATACTTGCAAGTGATGAACCAGGCGGGAATCGTAATCGTATTATAAAGATTAATGCCCAGCATAACGTACGAAAGAGAGCCATATAGACAAAAATATAGAAATAAAATTTATTTAGAAGTACTAACGTTTCGTCTTTAACCTAAGACATCTTCAGAGTAAATGAATATAGTATGACAATAAGTTACAAATATGAATAATTATTTACAATATCAAATTACAAGGTGATGAGGTAATAGGAATGCAGAGGGGGGGGGGTTAAAGGAGAGAAGTCAGAGGAGTGAGAGAGGAATGGAGCTACCTTGCTGATTTAAAGTAGGTTTGAGCTTTGAGATGAGAAGACTTTCACGGACGAGAAGTTCATCTGGAGAGGAACATGATGATAGGATCTTAAAATCATCAAGAGAAGCAGTATGACCTGAGTGGCTCAGATGGGAAAAGACGCTCGTCAGCTGAGGACTGCTACTCGTCTTACCAGTTAAGGCGGAAATACCCAGGTGTTCAGAGACTCGTGTATGTAGATGTAGCCTTAACTTTTCGTCCATTTTTAGCCGCCTATGTTATCTTTCATAAGTGGGCAAAAAACAGCAAAAAAATAAGGCTATAGCCTTAACTTTTCGTCCATTTTTAGCCGCTTCTGTCATTTTTCATAAGTGGGCAAAAAACAACAAAAAAGTAAGGCTATAAGCTTAACTTTTCGTCCATTTTTAGCCGATTTTTCAATTTTTGAAAAAGAGGAAAAAAAGAGCAAAAAAGTAAGGCTATAGCCTTAACCTTTCGTCCATTTTTAGCCACTTATGTCATTTTTCATAAGTGAGCAAAAACGAGCAAAAAAGTAAGGCTGTAGCCTTAACTTTTCGTCCATTTTTAGCCGATTTTTCAATTTTTGAAAAAGAGGAAAAAAAGAGCAAAAAAGTAAGGCTATAGCCTTAACCTTTCGTCCATTTTTAGCCACTTATGTCATTTTTCATAAGTGAGCAAAAACGAGCAAAAAAGTAAGGCTGTAGCCTTAACTTTTCGTCCATTTTTAGCCGATTTTTCAATTTTTGAAAAAGAGGAAAAAAAGAGCAAAAAAGTAAGGCTATAGCCTTAACCTTTCGTCCATTTTTAGCCACTTATGTCATTTTTCATAAGTGAGCAAAAACGAGCAAAAAAGTAAGGCTGTAGCCTTAACTTTTCGTCCATTTTTAGCCGATTTTTCAATTTTTGAAAAAGAGGAAAAAAAGAGCAAAAAAGTAAGGCTATAGCCTTAACCTTTCGTCCATTTTTAGCCACTTATGTCATTTTTCATAAGTGAGCAAAAACGAGCAAAAAAGTAAGGCTGTAGCCTTAACTTTTCGTCCATTTTTAGCCGATTTTTCAATTTTTGAAAAAGAGGAAAAAAAGAGCAAAAAAGTAAGGCTATAGCCTTAACCTTTCGTCCATTTTTAGCCACTTATGTCATTTTTCATAAGTGAGCAAAAACGAGCAAAAAAGTAAGGCTGTAGCCTTAACTTTTCGTCCATTTTTAGCCGATTTTTCAATTTTTGAAAAAGAGGAAAAAAAGAGCAAAAAAGTAAGGCTATAGCCTTAACCTTTCGTCCATTTTTAGCCACTTATGTCATTTTTCTGGGGAGAAAACCTCGGACCCGCGAACAGGCTGCGTAGGAGACTAGTTCAAGAGTTACTGTAAGCTTGATACGAAAAATCTGTAAATAAAATTTTATAGATAATTTTAAACGTTCATGTACCGGGAAAATTATAAATTCTGAATAATTTTTGTATTGACCAATCAGGCAGATTCTTTTGTAAATACCAACCAATCAGGTGTCTGTATTGAAGCAGAAATAATAGCATTCCAGAGAATAAATTATATTCAAATTTAGGACGGCTCTCAAATTTCACTCGAAGTCTTCGCCTGTTATTTGTACTTTAAAGGGGAAGATACAACGCTTAAATACAGCAAAGAAGCACAAAATCGGAAGTTAAAGGCAAGGTTAAGGTATGTTCTATCATTTTGATGTGAAATGTTGATATTTTAGCGAGTTAAAGTGGTTAAAACTACTTGTCGAAGTTGACAACCGCAAGTCGCTTCACGTTCGATGTTCGTTTTGTTATGGCTTATTTATACCGAGCATATTACTGAATTATACCTTACGTTTCGTGAAGTTTAGTTTAAATTAGTAGAGAGAAGAGTGCATTAAGTATTTAGGGTATTTTGGAGCTAAATGTGTTTTAAAATTTGTCATTTTAGCGAAAACAAGAAATGTTGAAGTTGTCCAGAATGTCGTCCCGGCCATGTGCTTGCTGCGAAGAGACTCGGACATCGGACATTGTAGTGAATGGTTGACAATGTGTGTCGCTGGCAAACCTACAACTCCCACTGTACTAGGCAGTCAAGTATTTTTAACCTGCACATTTTTGTTTTTATTTCCCCAAATTTATTTTATGTTCATAAATATCATGAGTCATGCATGACTTTAAAGCTGGAAGGAGTTGAGATTCCCAACTCAACTGCATGCCTTCTGAACATTAGGCCACATAAAAAATAGTTGGTTAGCGTCCTTAGCTTTTGCCAAAAAGTGGGTGGGTGGGCGGTTTTAAAATTTTTACTAATTTTTTAACGCCTTGGTTTTAGGTCCGAAACTGGATTTTCATGCGCAGTACAGATATTTTTTTATATATTTCAAAATATGATTCATACCGTCATTTTTGCACGCAATTTTGCCACTTATTAACACAATTGACTACAGTCAACAGAAATACTACCTATATTAGAACCTGTTGATCAATAAAAGTTGGGTTTTTTTAAAATAAAAAATAAAAAAAAATCTTGAGCGGGGCCTTTTTTGTGGGCGGGCGAAGATGCTAACCAACTATTTTTTTATGTGGCCTTAGACTCCATTTTACATGCTACCATTTCACCAGTAAGAAATGTTTTGAAAATTTTGAGATTTGAAAGCTGTTTGCATGGGCAGTGCCATTTCAGTTTTATTATTTTTCCAAGGTCTCTGTGAGACTTCCAATCATTCAGCATGAACAAAAGCAGTACATGTAAAAAGAAAGGCGCCACTTTTTGGGTGTACTGTTTTTCTGTGTTGAATGGCTGGAAGTGCTACAGGTATCATGGGATATCTAATAAAGTTGTGATGTTATTTCGGTGCTGTTTCTATAAAGGGCAGCTTGCTATGGCTATATATGCCTTAGCCTAAAAAAAATTTCAATTATTTTTCAAATAAAACATTTTGGGTGCTGTTTCTATAAAGGCAGCTTGCTATTACTAAAACTTGGTTTACTACATTCAGGGATGCCTGTACTTTTCAGTCAACTGTACTTTTCGATTGACTTTCCAAATTACTTCACTGCTGTTTCTATATGGGACAGCTATTACTATCACTCTATGTTTTAGACTTTTTTATGTCATTTTTGTAAGGATGACATCTACATACTATATTGCAATGCTATATGCTTAATATTAAACTTCTCATACATCATTAGATATTCATAGCATTTCGGCCAATGACATGGTTTAATTTACATCACGTGTATCTATCTGGATACCCCGTCTAGACCAGGACTTTAATTACTTCAAGTGAGAAGGGCTTTGAACAATAGGGAAATTGAGGCGTAAACAAAAGATTATGCAAATATATTGAATTGCTATGTTTAGAATTATTTCTAAATACAGTAAGTTGTATTTAGAAATTTATTCTAACTACACTTTATAGCTAACACTTTTCCTAAACGTTTGAAAACTACATAAATATAGGAAAACCAACTTTTTTACCAGCTATCATAATAAACAGCGCTTTAAACACTATATATAATACAGCAATTTACCAGTAATGTTTACCGTCTATAAAATATATATTCACTTCGGCTCTTTCATTTTCCACCAGATAGCGCCTTATCGCACAAACAATCTGATATATCGTTTTTCGGATCCCCAACCTTGTCAGCCGAGCGACAATACTGTGCACAATGCTGTGCTCAACACTTTCTGGTTCTCGAAACCGCTTTTTCTTTTATTAAAAGAAGATACCATGCTCTTTTGCCAACAAAATAATCTATTCACGACGAAAGCGAACTGAATGCTTCGTTGCACTTCATGCAAACTTTCAAGCGAATGTAATCGTTAAATGCCCACGCTCACTTTTTTGAATATCTAATAATTTCATGCCTCATTGCTATGAAAGTCTAATGATGTGTGAGAAGCAATTTCAAATCCTCGTTAGTGTTTTAAACTTGGCTTCCAAATCCCCAGTGCCATGAACAATGGCTCGGCTGCGCCTCGCCATTGTTCATGGCACTTGTATTTAGAAACCACGTCTAAAACACTAACTCGGATTTGAAATATTACTTCTGAAATAGACAGCACAGTTTATTGACATTTCAAATTTAGAAAAACCTAAGATTCACTGCCCATGTGTGTTCTAGTTACGATGAAAGGCAAGTATAAAGTGTTGTTCATGGCTTAGGGATGTACTACATTTTATAAAAATATGCAGTAGTTTTACACAAGTATATATATAGTGTTTTTAAACTACATGCTAAAAGTTTCCGACTGTTAAAATGGTGGCATGTAATTGTGGGTATCTTGCTAGGACTTGCACATTTAAATATTTACAAGCGCATTAGGTCTCTTAGGTTTTAGTTAAGACCAACATGAGCGAGTGAGATAAACTCGACTAGCTTAGGATAAGGCATCAAGCGTGAAATCCACGCATTAGACCCCTCAGGATCGGACCCCAACCCTTTTTTCAATACCAAATGTGAAATTACCCCCACCTTACCACATCATTGAAGAGTATTGGTGGATATCTTGGGCAAATGTGCATTATCTTGGTGGATATCTTGGGCAAATGTGCAACACCATGAGGGATATCTTGGGCAAATGTGCAATACCATGAGGGATATATTGGGTAAATGTGCAACACCATGAGGGATATCTTGGGCAAATGTGCAACATAATGAGGGAGATATTGGGCAAATGTGCAATACTAATGGATAAAATGGTATGAAAGAAAATGTTGTAAGGTTAGTGGATATTTATAATAAGGCGTAAAAAAATACCTGTGGTTCTGGTTCATATCGCGAAAAAATTAGGGACGGTAGGTCGGAAATAAATTTTTTTGGAGTATTTTTTTCATAGTTTTTTCAATAATTAGTGTGACAAGAGACACCATTTTGGCAGCAGCCCGCGATCACCCAGAGAAAAAAAGGTTGCACGGTCAATCGCGTTGAAAAAAATAATAGGGTCGGTCGGGAAATGGAACCACAGGTATTTTTTTACACCTAATATCAATGAGGGGAGGGGGGGGGGTCCTGCGATTAGGAACAAAGTAAGTCCAAATTAAGAGGAAACAATATGGCGGAGTGTAACAAATGAACAATATGGCAGACTGGTTAATATGTAACAATGATGCACAATTAGAACAGGCAAAATGCAAATGTTGCTGTATAAACATATCACAAAATATGCTTCTGACAACTACATGCTATATGTTGATAGGAATTTGAATAAGTTTTCAGCAGGGAGCCAGGGATGATTTAGAATTTTTGTTTTATTTTTATTGATGATTTTCTATAAATTATGATTTTCTAATTAATTAATGTATAGATTGTAATTTTGTAATATAGAAAATAATAGAGTTCTTGAATTTGAATAAGTTTTTAGGAGGCATGATTTAGGATTTTTGTTTTAATTTATGATTTTCTATAAATGGGTGCCCAACTAAATTAAGATTGTAGATATAATATATAGATTGTAGATTTTGTAATATAGAATTGAGTATAGAATAGAGTTGGAATTGGCTCTAGAATAGAATAGAATTGGAATTGGCTCTTTCACAGGAAGTGTATGAATATCTTGAGGAACTTGATGAAATGAATTGGTCAGCCCAAGGTAATGTATTGAATCAATATTTGAGCAACACTTCAATTGGAACAACAGTAAACACTTATAGATTTATATTTCAAATGCCCCTGGAAAACCCCTGGAAAAAGGATGAAAAGAGTCCTGGAAAACCCTGGATTTTTTAAATTATGAAGGTGTACGAACCCTGATCAAAGATATTTCAAATGACAATATATTCAACAAACACTGCTTTTATTGTAGTACGACATTTATAAATTTTATAGACAGCTTTCGTTTTGACACAAGCTTTAATTTTCTGCTTTATATATATTCTTTATAATAACAAGTGTGAAGTGAGATTTCTTTTTTTTTTTTGCTTTGTACATTTAAAGTTTTAATTGTGAATCATCTGTTTATTTCTAGTTCATTAGTCATTATGCTACTATTAGTAAAACAATTAAGGCTCTCAAATATATTTGTACATTTATTTGATAGCGTTATAGTGATACATCTATTTACACACAAGCAATCCTGTAGAAACGATACAAGCTGTCCATTTAAAAAATAACGTTATTCTATTCCAAGTAGAAGTAGAAAACTCGAAAATTTATGTCTATTTGTAAATAGAGAAAGAGAGAAAATTCATATGACACTGTGTGCATCTGACACTGTAAATTTGTGATATAGATAATAGTATATTAGGATTATAGTATAGAGACCAAGCAAAAGACTACAGCCTGACTATTAAATTTACCGAATACAAATCATGTACTAAATCCAAAATTTTGTGGGGATAAATCACTGACAGACATTTCTCTGTTTGGCTAGTAGTATCAAATGTTTACATTTGCCTATAATGGGCTCTAGTCCTAGAAAATACAATACTGTTTCTTTTAAAAATCTTATAAACAAGACGTGCAAAGCATATCAACTTTTACAAGAATTTAGGATTTTTGTTTTTATTTATGATTTTTGTTTTTATTTATGATTTTCTATAAAGACTATGTTGTAAGTTTAGTGGGTATTTATAATATTAATAGCAATAAAATGCAGGGTTCCTGCGATTGGGAACAAAGTAAGTCCAAATTAATTTAAGAGGAAACAATATGGCAGTGTGTAACAATAATAATAATAATATTTATTCAAGAAGCTCGACTTACCGAACAATATGGTGGACTGATTAATCTATGACAATGATGCATGATTAGAACAGGCAAAAAGCAAATATTGCAGCATAAACATATTATGAAATATGCTTATTACAACTACATGCTATATGTTGATTCTTATAATAAGCTCTTATAATAGTTAGTTCTTATAATAAGCATGTTTATAATATAGCATTTGTAAATTCTGAACGCTGATTGGCTAAGAGCTGTGTTGATATAACTCAATATGTCAACACGGGAAATTTTCCGCCGCTCGTAAACACGGAAATTTTTCTCATCCTTCGGGCTTTTGACATTGCTATATTATAAACAAAATATAAAACATTTTTCCGTATTGATATATAGTTATATCAACACTCGTGGAAGTTGGGAAAACGAGAAATTGTATGAAAACATTCCGCCCTTCGGGCGTCGTGTTTCCATACAATTTCTCGTTTTCCCAATTCCACTTGTGTTGATATAACTGTATATCAACACAGAAAATGTTTTATATTTGTTAAATATAATACAACAACTACATGTGATCTGTTGATAGGAATTTGAATAAGTTTTTAGCAGGCATGATTTAGGATTTTTGTTTTATTTCAATTTATGAAATTCTATAAATGGGCGGCACAACTAATTTGAGATATAATAATGTATAATATATGGATTGTAAATTTTGTAATTTTAGAAAATAATAAATTTCTTATAATATATATGTATCTAATACAACAACTACATGTGATATGTTGATAGGAATTTGAATAAGTTTTTAGTAGGCATAAATTAGGATTTTTGTTTTATTTCTATATTTATGAAATTCTATAAATGGGCGGCACAACTAATTTGAGATATAATAATGTATAAAATATGGATTGTAAATTTTGTAATATAGAAAATAATAGAGTTCTTATAACATATATGTTTCTAATACAACAACTACATGTGATATGTTGATAGGAATTTGAATAAGTTTTTAGCAGCCATGATTTAGGATTTTTGTTTTATTTCTATTTATGCTATTCTATAAACGGGTGGCTGACAACTAATTTGAGATATAACAATGTATAAAATATAGATTGTAAATTTTGTAATATAGAAAATAATAAAGTTGTTATAATATATATGTATATAATACAACAACTACATAATATAGAAAATAAAAGAGTTCTTATAATATACATGTATCTAATACAACAACTACATGTGAATAAATGTGATATGTTGATAGGAATTTGAATAAGTTTTTAGTAGGCATAAATTAGGATTTTTGTTTTATTTCTATATTTATGAAATTCTATAAATGGGCGGCACAACTAATTTGAGATATAATAATGTATAAAATATGGATTGTAAATTTTGTAATATGGAAAATAATAAAGTTCTTATAATATATATGTATCTACTGTAATACAACAACTACATGTGATATGTTGATAGGAATTTGAATAAGTTTTTAGTAGGCATGATTTAGGATTTTTGTTTTAATTTATGATTTTCTATAAATGAGTGCCCCAAATAATATGAGATATAAATAATGTATAAAATATAGATTGTAAATTTTGTAATATAGAAAATAATAAACTTCTTATAATATATAATTATGTATCTAATACAACAAGAACATGTGATATGTTGATAGGAATTTGAATAAGTTTTTAATAGGCATGAATTAGGATTTTTGTTTTAATTTGTGATTTTCTATAAATGAGTGCCCCAACTAATTTGAGATATAATAATGTATAAAATGTAGACGGATTTTCATATTTATTACTGGGGTGGTGCCAGAAATTTTAGGGGGGTGAGCCGTGAGCAGGTGACTGAGGCAACACAAAGTGTCACCGAACCCCAGTAAGATCTATATTCTAGGGGTGGAGCGCTAGAGCCGCGAAGGGGAGTCTAGAGAGCAGAAAACAAAGTATCCCGGGAAAAATTTGAAAAAATCATGATTTCTAGCTTCGAAAAAAGTTTTTTGAAGTTGTCAATTTGTCATATCAATGGATTTGGCGTGTCCGATAGTTTGTTAAGACTTGTGAGAATTAAAGACTTAAAGTTAAATGAACCTATAAAAGTGTAAACCCAATAGGCCAATACACAATATGCTTTTACTTTTATAAAGTCATGGACATTGTGTTGTTTGAATCTGAGTACATTTATGATGCAACTCCGATGTAAATAATATTTGGGGCGTAAAGATTAAATCTAGGCAAGTCTATTTCTTAAAAGAATTAAAAGCTAAAAATTAGTGTTCTAAAAATTCCAAACATTCCTTGCGTGCAAGCTACTGTATTCGCATGACAAGGCACTGCAAACTCTATTCAGGGAAGATAATAGAGTTTCAAAACTTTACAATTGCTCCAATAAACCAGTGAATGCAAGCGAGGAGCGATTAGTTTCAGAGTGTTGCACTGTCTTTTTCTGTTTGAGTGTACTCAGACTACGTTTACTTTGTATGATCAACACTCTGCACGTTGGAGTGGACTATTTAATTATTTATTTATTATGCCGAAATTGAAAACTGAAATTTTTTTGGAGGGGTGAACATTTTTTTTTTTTTT